TTTTACTATGACCCTGATGAAGGCCACAAGCCGAAAGGCGTTGGTCAATTATTAAAGTTGTTCATCTTCCCTCAAGTGTTGCTGGAGTTCCTGCTTAATGTATAAATGCAGACAGATTACCAACATGTTGCCATCACGCTTAGGTCTTTGTCACTCGACTCAAGTAGTCTTGAGTTGACTTGAGTGGACTCGACTCAGCTGGCTGCCCGCTGGTTGTATTCTGGTTATATTCCTACAGAACCTTTGGTTTGCTGACAGCAAATGTAATAGTTAAATGTGAATTTCTGTCTACGTAAACAGCTACAGATATGTCATTTTCAATGATTTATCCCTGTTAATTGCTGGATTATCAGAAACAGATTGCGCATAATTGAGAACCTGACCCCATTCAATTGCAGACTGTCTGCAGACTGACTCCATCCTATGGCAACATTTGGCCAGGTTTATTGACAGCGTTGGTATGCTTGTCAATCTGAATTTGCAGGAAAAAATAAGTGAGGTAACTTTATCTTGTTATATAAGATAGATACTGACAAAGTTTAACTTTGAAGACATAATTTATGGTTAACAAAAGGTGATAAATCTTAATTTATATATTATTACAGTACTTAATATATTGCAAAAATATTTAAAAAATTGATTCTGTTTTTCACAGATTTTGGAGTGCCTTAAACCTGTGCTCTTGCTAATGATTGGCATGAGGGGAGTCATTTGGTCATAAAAACAAAATCTAGGTGTATAATAGAAGTCAATAGCAAAATGATTCTCGGCTCCCTTAACCTATTATCTCATTACCTGATGAATTTATGATGATGTGATTGTCCAGTGTCCCTCTGTTTCTAAGCTAGATCCGTCTCTCACCCATACGGAGGATGGCAATAATGCTCAACAGCTGGACTTACAAACCAATAGGTGCCATCCATCATTTTGCATAGTTATATATTATATATGGTTTTACTCAGCTTCAGTTCAAGACGTAGTTCACAAGTATTATGTAGATCAAGTCAGATAGTGCGTGATGCCATATGTAACATGACTGTCTTTCAAAGTGACAACACAGTCATTTCTTAGCAATCGTCCTGGCTTTTTAAGAGGAAACATGAAGAAGATTTGATCTTAGAATATATCTTTGCATGTTTTCTGGTTTTATAAATCTGTCCTCTGCATTTGCTATATGTGGAAAAAGAAAGGTATTGCCAGCTGAACTGTCTTGTTACTGTACCACAATAGGAAGTGCTGTTGCCATCGGTGTTATTTGTTATTTCTGGTGGCTCCTTGCAGTGACACAGGAGGCATCCCCCTGAAATATGTTCATCCCGGTCCAAAGCAGACTGACTGAACTTTAAGTTTTAAAAAATGTTACTCTGCTTTTACGCCCTGAGAAAGATTCTACTTATTAGTGGACAAGTAGGGGAAAAAATGAGTTTGCCTTAGTGTACTGCTCTGTGATGTCCAAAAAATGACTCATGATGACTTGGGACATCGCTTTAGTAATTATAAGTACACATTCATAGCTGTCTGGTTTGTAGTTACATAATAGATTCATGTTCGCAAACCTTTGAGGATCTAAGAAAAGCAGCTATGGTTAACCACCATTTGCTCTTGATTTTAAAAAAAGCTTTTGAAAAGCTTTCAAAAGCCCCAAAGCTGGACAGATTTTTTTCAGCTATAAACAGCTGAAGGTAAAAAAAAAAAAATAAAAAATTAGTGTAGAGATTTTCATATGACAACAGTAAGATACTGACAGGAGTGTTGGGCTGTAGTCGGTATGTGTGTATATGTGTGTGCCAGTTCCCACGCTGCAGGCAGTTCCGTTTGTAGCACTCTGGTGAGGCTGGCAACTGGGCTGCAGCTGCTGTCTGCCTCACTCTGCCTGCTTGCAGCTGTGCGGCCGACGAGATAAAACACCAGCAACTGACAAACAAGTGAAGTCCATTTATCCCGAACTCGTTTCCCTGGGATGTTCCAGGCAACC